GGCATATAGAATTCTAATAAAGAATAAAACGATTTCTTTCAGTGCAGGTAATCGAAACTAAAACAGAATTGAACAGGAACTCAATGGCAGAAATATTTTTCTTAAATATATTTTTTAATACCTAACGACTGATCACAATAGTACGAAGAAACATTTTTGAAAGCGCTGACCCCATGAATAGTCAGACAAATCGCTGTGTATAAAGATGTGCAGTTAATTCATAGTTTTGATCAGCAGCTTCATATGCTTCAAAAAAGAAAACGCAATTAAGACAGTAAGAATTTCGTAAAGTAAAGTAAATGATTTCAGTTAAATATGTTGTCACTAATAATTTTTTATTTTCTACTTCTTCAGAATATTCTGCGCCTACTAGATGATAATGCAACTACCAGCTCATGAAGAATTGCCACAGAATTGGGTATTCCACAAAAAAGAGTAATGAAAACCCTCCACGAGCAAGGCTTATATCCGTACCATATACAGAGAGTACAACACCTACAACTGGAAGATTATGCTAAGCGTATGGAGTTTTGTCGATGGATCAATAATAATCATTTTATTGAATTCCGAAACATTCATCAGTGACGGTATAACTAATACTCGGAATTCTCATATGGGGTCAGACGAAAATTCTCACGCAACACTTGGCCCTTGGCGCAGGAGATCACTACTTATTTTTTTTACAAAATGAATTACAAGTAAGTACTACTAGAGGATATTCCTCTAAATATGAGAATACGAATGTACTGCCAGTACAATGGAGCTCTTGCACGTGTAGCTTGAAAACAAATGAAAATCGCGTAACAACATTTGAGTTTTTTCCTTATTATTTTTACGTTAGAATCCATTGCTGGAGTTTGGTGCGGTTCTCCCAACTCACCTCTTTTTAACTGTTTTGATGAGGTGTCAAAACAACAAGAAGAAAAGTATACATTACTTCTAGAATATTATTTTATGACTTGATGAAGTTAATTTATAAATTTGCGCAAATTTTGCAATTACTTTAAATTTTCATTGAAGTTGATATTTCAACATCGAATTAGCTATTTTATTTCAAAAACGGTTGATCTTTTTCTTTAATACTGCGTAATTGCATGAACTCTTAATAATAATAATAATAATAATATTAATATTAAGTAGGCCGCATTTGCGCCCAGGAACGACTTATGTTGGTAGGCCCTAACCACCATTCAGTGCAGGAATGAGGGAAACTTGGAAAACCTCATTAATTACACAAGCCTACTTAGAAAAGAAATAGCAATATCAGCGCATGAAGAAAATCACCACAAAATATATTGAAACTATTAAATGCAAATCAGAAACCTATAAAGTTAGGCGACAAGAGTACATTTCTTATGTAGAATTAAACGTTCTTTTAGATATTTAATTTTTTTAAAGCATGGTTTAACAGATGAAAAATTTTCAGTGTCATGCTATCAAAACTTTCTAAATTATTGAGAAATTTCAGAATAAAATTTAAACCTTGAACATCCTGTATTTCTTAAATCAGCGACATTCGCATAAAGCATGATGAGCTCAAACATAATATTTTAGTGTCTAGCATCTCCAGCTTAATGTTGACCCATTCCTTCTGACTCACCCTGTATAATGTAAATACAGTACGCGCCTAAAGTATGGAATAAATTCAGTAAAAACGAAATTTTTTGGGAAACAGGTCGACTTTTAATTTAAAAAATACATATTTTAGCATAAAAGGCAATTTTCAACCGTCATTTGTTTTCGAGTAATGACGTCATCGACATTTTTTTTAAATAGCAACCCCCTATTTTTTTTCTTGGTTCTGACAGTATACCCCAGTCGGTAGAGGCCGAAAAGTTACTGTTGGTGACATTTCCTTGATAACTCGGAAATAACTACACAGTTCTACTTTAAATGATAAGTACAATAACAGGCTAATTTGCTGACAAAATATTTTATCAGGAAAAAAAGTTATTAACAATTTAATCGTGAAAAATTTTTTTTTAGTAGTATTCTTTAAATAACTCAGCGGGATGACTTTGTACGAAAAAATTCTTAGAACATGATTTTGTTCGTAATAAAAATAGCTACAAAATGGCGGTGGTCCGATTACGAAATTTGCAATAACAAAGCCGTGAGATTGAAAAAACGGTATAAAACGCCAATTTTTTAAACTTGCTGTAAAAATGTCAATTATAAACAAAAAGTGATAAAACTTTCGAAAACTATAGTTCAATATA